TTCCTAATCCTAACCTGGCTCTTACCCCAACTCTATATGCTGAATTAGCCCATATGCATTACAAGAAAATGGGAACATGGTCCATAAGTTGGTCCTGCTGCAGGTTCTGTTTCTTGAATCCATCTGGAATGGTTCCAGGTTCCTAAACAAGCACAGGCACCTATTTTCTCAAAACCCTAACCTAATTCTTACCCATAACCCTAATAGGATGGTTTAGTCGATATGCATTGCAAGACAGTTAAAATGCTATCAAACACTCCACTCAAGTTGACCATATACTTTCTCACTTTAACCCTACTTGACTACTTCCAGGCCCTTAGAGAGGCTGTTACCACTACACTGGTTTAGCTCACGTGCACTATGAGAGCATTAGAAAGGTATTATGCAGTCTGTTCTTGCTCTAAGCCATCTGCTCTTGCTCTAAGCCATCTGGAATAGTTTCAGTTCCTAAATAGATCCAGAAAACTCTCTTTTCCAAAACCCTAACCATAACCTGGCTCTTGCCTTGAATCCCAATAGGATAGTTTAGGGTTTGGGATAGGAAAATATTTCTCTTATGGTTGTCATGGGCCCTGGAACTACTCCAAATGGTTCAAGAAACTGAGCAGTCAACAGGAACTGAGCATTTGATGGAATTCCCATAGCCCTGCAATGAATACAGGCTCAATTATCCTATTAGGGTAAGTGTACAAGCCAGATGAGGGTTCAGGTTAGGAAAATAGATATTGAACCCTAACATTGCTAATAGGATATGCAAACTATGCAAAAGCTTTTTGAGCATTTGGATCTTTGTGTTCAGTTTCTCTGACCTATCTCAGCTAGGCCAAGGTCCTTAGGCATGTCCAGGGCCTTATGTTTTCCAAGCTGGCTCCTACACTTATCTTAATAGGATGTACCTTGCAAGTATATAAAAACCCTAACCCTATGACTTTCAAATTGTCAGTTCCTTTTGACCACTCAGTTTGTCTAACTCATCTGGACTTGCTCCAAGACCGAGATAAACATTCAGACCTATGTTTTCCAAACACTAACCCTAAAGGTGTTTCTTAAGTGTAAGGTCAATGTGATAAATTTCACAAATGTGTACTGTAGAACAATGGAAATAGCATAAAATACATAGTTTCTGATGACTGTTCAGTCTTTCTAACTAGTTCCAGAGCCCAAGGTGAGCATAGAGGGCTACGTTTTCCTAAACATAACTCTGACCTGGCTCTTACCACAAGCCACATTTGGATGGTTTAGCCCATGCTTTCCTAACCCAATCCCTAAAATGTCTTTTAACCTGTACAGTATGCCACTGTGAAGTCACGGTTCAGCACTCACAGCTTCAGTCTTTGGCAAAATTTTCCATGTGGTGGCTTGCTCACAAGGAGATTGTTTTCTCTGAGTGAGTCCAAACCAATCTCCTTGCAAGGAAATTGGTTTGGACTCGCTCGGAGAAAACGATTTCTACGTGTGTGCACCCCTACTCCTGCCTCACCACGCGCGCACACCCATGCCCCCTGGCCCAGCCCGCACCCCCTGCCTGCACTGCCTTGGTGGCCGGTGCACATCACCGGCACAAAATTCGTGGTTTTTCACAATTCACGGATGCTCTAGGAATGCAATCCCTGCAATTTCGGGGGACTGCAGCACACCTAAAAAAGGTAGAATTTCTCTGGGAATTGTAGGATTTTGGAAAACAGCTGCTCATGCCAGGGTTCACCTGAGTGCTCATTTTATCTTTCTCATCTGGAGTGATTCAATATGTGCAGAGGGAGCTATTTTACCCTAACCCTACCTTTAACCTGGCTCTGACTCCTAACCTTAATAGGCTGACACAGCCAATTTCAATTCTGTGTAGCACTTACCCATGTTTGTGCTGACCAGTCCGATTTTCTACTCAATCTGCATTAGTTCCAGGCTGCTGAGCCTGCTTTGGGCCATATGCTTACCTAACTCTAACCCCTGCTGGGCCTTCACCCCTAATCCTTTGAATTACAATATATAGTTGAAGGACAGCCCACACAGGGTTTTAATTGACTCTCATTCCTCTATACCATCTGAATGATTTTCATTCTCCTAGACAAGGATATGGACCTACGTTTTTCAAACCATATCCCTAATATGGCTCTTAACCTTACCCCTTAAAGTACTGATATATCCCTGTGCTCTGCAAGCTTTGCAGAACATCAGCACACACTGGGTTTCTTTTGATCCCTCAATTTTACTACAATTTTACTATCTGGATGAGTTCCATGCTCCTATTTTGAACAGGGACCTTTGTTATCATAACCCTAACTTTAAGCTGGCCCTTCAACCCAACCTCAAAAGACTGGAATAGTTCCTTTTAATGTCAAGACATTAAAAAAAACTTAGTGAACACTGCATTCCTGTTGACTTATTATTATTTTTACCTATTTGGATTTGTTCCAAATCCTGTGATAGGCTGTGTGACCACTGTTTTCCTAGCCTGGTTCCTTAACTCTAACCCTAATCCTGAAAGACCTAATGCTAGCCCCTATGAAGAGTAACACCGAAGAAAAAGGGTACCATTGCTATCCTCATTCGGTATATAGCTGTGAAGATTATTTTTTGGCTTAAACAACATGATAACCCAATAAAGTTTTGTTGAACTATGAATTATTATTGAAATGTGGGATCTTATGTTTTCTAAATTTGGCTGTGTGAACAAACCACAGTTGTTAACTGTGACCAACCTAGAAAGAAAAGCCAATTCGTTGTTGAGTTGCAAATGGCTGCTGACCATGGTTTATTGTTTCAGGTGGACGCAGGCAGCCTTAAGCCTGGAGTGTGAGTTATATCAGCAACAATTTAGATTGAGATATTATACTATTCTCCTTGGCATGTCTCTGTATCATCTTTGGTATTTTGAGTAATTGCCATATTAAAAGTATAATGAAATAACCAACACTACCAAACTAAGAATTTCATACCCTGGAATAAGTATTAATAAAAAATGGAAAAGAAGTCACATTTTACAATTCAAAATGAAATTATTATTTTTATGTATTACTGCAAGAATGACAGAGTACTTTCAAGTACCACATAGAAGAAAAGAAATTTATATCTCAAATTATTACACTACTGACTCACTTGTGGGTTCAGTCTAAAGCTTTATTGGTTAAAGTTCATTTCCCCCCAGAAATGACGGCCAATGCATTGCCGCAACAATTTAAGGACAATATTAAAATAAAAGCCTAATTAAAATATAACCTAAACAAACAAAAGCACTATTAATACATTCCTTCAATTAAATAGATGTCATGCAAGACAATAACACCCCTTTAGCAGCAGATTACAGGCATGTTTGCTATTTGCCTTCCAGTGGAGGGATAACAGATGGAACCAGTCTTGACAAGCAGTTCCACACCTGAATATAGGGCAATAAGAATGGTGGTGAGAAAGGATAGGCTTTCTCAGAAAACCTCAAAAACTATATGCAAATAAATATGGGAAAATGCAGTCTTTCAGATCTGTTTCAGAGTTATATAGGACTTTAGAAGCACACTGAATGTGCTTCAAAAGGCTAAAATTGGAGTGGCTGCCAGTGAAACTGTTCCAAAACAGCTTTACAGGCTACTAGTCATATTTACACAAATAAAACCTCCATAGATATTAATTTATAGGACAGAAAATAGTTGGGTGATTATGAATAGCTTTGGAAGGAATTTGATTGGTAAGTTACTTTCCTTTAAAACATTTTTGAAGTATAGCTAGTCTAGTTAGTGAATTGAAATAGGCCAGGAAATTTTCTCCCTGTTTGCTATTCTGTGTTCTAAAAACCAAATTTATATTAACATATTTCAATATTAAATATAGACATACACAAGTTTCCAGCACAGCTGCACATTTCATAAATACTGAAATACTAATGGAGGCAATATTAAGATAATTTCCTGCTCTTTTATTTTTTTGTTCGTGCTTTTTTATTTTTACAGCATCTCTGTGTGTGTAAAACTAACAAAACACAGTCTCTATCACATTTATTCTTCTATATTTTTTCTTTTTTTTCATTATTAACTCCCAACATCATTGATTTTGCTTCTTTGGGAACTTTCTTGCACAAGAAATGTACAAAGGGCTATAATTAAATACCAACTGATGGAGAAGCTTCCACCAGTAAACTGGGAACAGTCCAATTTCCTTTTCCTCCTTCAGTCTCCATGCAGGGAGGAGAAGGGGAGAATATTCCATATGTGTAAATACATCTGTATGACATTGAATTTGACCTAAATTCACCTGTTGGTGAAGTCTACAGTTCTGTAACTTAGAGTAAGGTGCAGTTATTCCAAATGGGATTTATTTTGAGTGGGATACAGGGAAGTGATGTGAATACTTGTGCAGCCTTTCTGAATAATAAAAAAGTCAATAGCTCACAGCATAAAAGCACGATAAACTAGAATGCATCATTAAATATAATAAGTCAGTAGTAAAAGCCAGTGCAGGGCAGTGGTTAGAGTGATATACTGTTGACTTGGGAAATCTGAGTTCCAGGCACCCCTTGGCCAGGAGGCTCACTGGGTAACTTTGGGCGAGGCACTGACAGCCTCATCTACCTCGCAGGATTGTTGTGAGGATCAACTGGAGATGAGAGCTATGCTACCTGCTTGACTTCATTGCAAAAGTAGGAAATGAAGTGGGAAAAAGGAAGACTATAATTAAACAACAGCAGTGATGGCAATAATGGTAATAATAACAATAGTACCAACACAAGAAGAACACACTATGAAGTCTTTCTGAAGTAAAAAATGCTAACCATCACAGAGCTGCCCATGCATGCAGCCGGCAGAAGCACACCACAGTAGGAGCAATCCTGCTCTCAATGGGGAGATTATTGATCAGAGGGTGTCCCAGTGGAGAATGCCTTCTGCACAGCAACCAACTGAATCTCAGTAGGCCATGGGATGGTAAGGAGGGTCTCACCCTCAGCATGTGAAGATTAGGCAGGCTATTTAGCCAGTTTATGCTTTTAAATAAGATTTTTCTTTTTCTTTTAGCAATGGTTATTCTCAACAATTTGGAACCAAACACAACATACGAAATCAAGGTTGCTGCTGTAAATGGAAAAGGACAAGGAGAATACAGCAAAATAGAGATATTCCAGACTTTACCAGTTCGTAAGTAATCCAATGGCTCTTTTGTGTGTGTGTGTGTGTGTGTGTGTGTGTGTCTGTAGCAGGGGAAAGCCCTTTAGATTTTCAGTTTGGTGATTTGTTTGTTGTTTTGCTGATGACACTCCTGTACCTTTTGCCAGTGGGCTTCAGGCATGAGAAGGAAGGGATATTACAGCCCAAAGCAACTGCTCAGTTTTCCTCTTACATTATCATTGAACTTCCCCCACCTTGCTGGTCTGAAGAGATCTATTCTGTACTCAAACATTTGGAAGATAGTATATTACTCACGCCCATCCCTAATTATAAAATTTGATTCTTGTATTTTTAAATACAAGTTTAAGAAATTAGTTCCACTTTGGACAATACTTTAGATAATTCTACATGTATCAGAACTTATAAATACTTTTAAAGGATGCTCATTTTAGTGCCTGTTACAGCTACCTTACCATGAAATGGTAAAAAGTAAAAATATGGAACAATAAATTTCGGACATAACTAGATAATCTTTTCAGTGAATATTTTTTCTCATGAACCATGTGCACTTGCTTTTACACATGGTGTACACCAGAAATAGTCAGTTCAGAGTAGCTTTTTCATGATGATGGACTGCATGCATCACAGATGTTGCATTTTTTCCAAGTTTGGAGCAATTGTGCAGTTAGGACTTCCCAGGTTATTTTATACAGTATCTATTGAGGTATTACCTCAATTAGGTATTACCTATTGGATCTTAATACTCATTCCTTATTAATGTAGTTGCTCAATATTAACTGAAATATAACTTTAATCTCATGAATGAAGAAATGTAATCTGATTAATTTATTACAGTATAGGTACTATGATTATTTCAAAAAATGAGTAGTATTTGTGACAATAGTGGTGACTTGTGGCTTGTAAATCAAATCAGCTTTGTTTGTAAGACATCTAGGTTTCCTGAACTTGGATGGCTGTCCAACAAACCTCGTTATTTAACTCAACGTTAATCACAAGTACCTGAATTTGAAAAAACCTATGTTCCCTCTTGTAGCAGGACATGTTTCTTCAAATAATATGTTTCAGCCCAATAGACATATCCTGGAATGGTCTTTCGACCATACTGCCCATGTGCATCTCATCCAGGTGATTCCCAGGGAGTGTTGCCTGCATGAGTTGCTGTCTCTTAAAGCACTACACCTGCAATAAGAAGGAAATATATGATGTTTCAAGAAGGATGAGATCAGGATAGGAATGATGCTCCCTCGATGACTAGGCAACTAACAGGCAAAGAGACCGCATGGACAACACTCCTCCAGGCCTTCCTGTCCTCTACCATCACCTGGAGTCCACCTAAGCTCAAACCAACTGCCTCAGTGACTCCATCTAGCCACCTCATCCTCTGCCGTCCCCTTCTTCTTTTCCCCCTGTCCTTATGTTCAAGTTAATATATGCAAAAATGAGAACTTGGATTAATGGAGAGCTTGCATTTGAGATTTGGAACCTAGCAAGCAATTTACAATTTATGTTGGGAAGAGTTCACTCATCATCAGGCATATGTCCATGATTGCTAAAATCTCTCTATAATTAATTACAAACAGCCAAATCTAGTATTTTAACTTATCTGAATGCATGCAGTTATTTTCATAATTATGTAACTGGTAAGGATCATAGCTTGTGATTAGAGATGTATGAATCAGGGAAACCCAAGCTCATCAAGGGTCTCTGAATTCTGATTCTAACTCATGTTTATATCTGATTATAAACTTTGCTTTCCTCTCTTCATACAAAAATTGTGTCTATATACAGGCACATTTTTCAAAATGTACATAACAGTTGTGAGCATTTTTGAAATGTACATTTAAAAGTGTTTTCATGTCATTTTCAAATGAATTTTCTTTTGTTTACAAATGGTATTGCAAGTTCAGAAATGTATAGATTTTGACCTTAGGTTGCATTCAGATGGGTGGTTTGATTACAAGAGGTATAAACAAATTCTTCACACACCTCTGTTTGTGACAGAATGTTTAGGCATCTGAACATTAGGAAAGAACTTTTTCTGATGAGCAATCCTGCGCAGCAGTGCTAGTCTAAACAGGAAAGTAGTGCAGAGGGTTTTAAAGCAGCTCCCTGTGCTGGAGAAAAAGCCTGAACACATGCAAGGAATCATCTGTCATTCCCAGCCTTTGCTTCTGTCAGATAGGTTTCTAACAGCTCTCTATGACTCTCCCAAGCAGCCCTAAATCATCTGTTCCTTCCAAAGCCTATTTTGTTGAGAAGGGAAAGTAATTGTGTTGCAAACTAGTGACAGTGTGGTGGTTCATCTGCTGTGAGTTCACTTATTCGTACTATCCCACCACCTTCTTTAAAGAATGTGAATGTTAAATGCAAAACCTGTAAAATGTGAAACCTTTGTTTTCACTTGTTATCCTTTCTCCTCATAGTAGCTGGGAAGAGCCATAGGACAGAACAGACCTGAATTTTACATTTCCAAGTAAGATAATGATAGAAGTATGTCTCCTCTTCGACAGGGTGAATATAAAAAGGCAGGAACTTCGGGAGCATCTGCTTGGTAACAATAAGTAAGAATGACAGTGACAGTTTTACAGCCACTTAGCAAATTGCCAGCTTAACTTCTAAACTCTGTATCTTTTCTCTGGCCCTAGGCATTAGTATAGTTAATGTTCATTGCAGGTAAATGCAGTTTCTCTGCTGGCTTAAATCACAAAAACCCTGGAGAAGGGGACAGAAATGAATACCACTGGAGGCCCTTGAATGTACATAGACAGTAACAACAGGGCATTTCTGGTTGCATATCTTTCCACTCAAGTCAATGAACACATTCATTCCTTGTTAAGAGCACAAATGGTTTAGCTGTGTGGCAGCTGGCACAAACAAAATGCCATTCTCCTGCCCTTTACAGTCTCCTGTTCAGGACACTTACCTGCTGTAGCAGATATGAGTGTGTGAATGTGTTTTGCTTTGGGAACTTGAGAAAAAGTATTTTAAGTATATGTAAAATGAATTGGATAAACTGAGCTTGGTGACTTGTAAGACAGGGGTTTTGGATGGAGGTGGATGTGTGCTTTACTATTCATAGAAGTGGGAATGTCTCCTTTTCAGCCAGCCAGGAGGAGAAATATGTATCCTGAAATTATTTTCTTCTCCGTACACTAGGCTTTCTCCTTCATAGTTTCAGTAGATTGTAACTTGAGAGTTCTTTTCCTAATCCAGACAGCCTTGTGAAATATATGTTACTAAAGCATGACCTAAAATATTGTTTTTAATATAAATAAACCTATTTCAAACACTAGCTTATATATAAATATTATTATTTCATTTATATCCATTTACAAGTAAATGGTGCTTAAATCCAGCATAGGAAGGCAAGGCATAATTTTGCTATTTTGATTGAAAGCAACTTCCAGCAGTAAAAATAATGGGCACACAGCATAAAATTATTGTGTATTTCTTCTTGCCTTGCATTTTAGGAGAACCAAGTCCACCATCTATTCATGGTCAGCCAGGAAGTGGGAAAAGCTTTAAACTTAGCATAACAAAACAAGATGATGGAGGAGCACCTATTTTGGAATATATTGTAAAATACAGAAGTGTAAGTATTTTGTTGATTACAAAATGCCTTTGTTAACTAATTGTTAACATGGGAGAGCTGACTAGAGCTGTCATGGACAGGACATTTTGGAGAGATTTCATTCATAGGATTGCCATACGTTGGAGACTATTTGATGGCACACAGCAGCAGCAACAGGATACTTGTTATTTCTTTGCTGGACTTACCAGGTGCCCTCTGGTTGCATTAGAGTGAAGGCCCATAAATCCATAAACAAATCTGGACACACAGTTGAGTAGGCTTGTAGAAGATGCAGTTCAGCTCCCTGTTTCATAAGTTAGGCTATTCATATTGAACAGCTAATGATTTCATTTCATTTGCCAAATCATTTTCAGCTTACCTGAATTGCGGCCAGAAGTTTGCTGGGATTCTACATTTCCTTCTTCCAATTCCATATCTGAAAATGCAGAAAACAATAACTTATGGGAATGATTTACCCACTGAAAAGCACATTTTGAAATAGTTATTTTAATAGTGATCAACAGCAATTGAAAACACTACCTTTTTATTGCTTCTTTCTAGTAAATGAGTTCCTTATTCTAAAAAAATGACTATCTTAGCCTTAGTCACACACATATTTCTATTCTATATTCTATATCTATATATTTCAATAGAACAACCACAAAAGAAATTGGGAGAAAAGAACAGTGGAGCAATTCTTCCTTCACTGGTTGAAATACAGTCTTATTCGTATTATTTATTGTTCTTCCACAATTGTTCTTCCTGTGAGGAAGAATTCATTCTCTCTGTAGCCCTGTGTCTCCTGCCTTGTGACAGTGGCCAGGATATTCCTACTTTAAGCTCTGCAGTCCCAGGATAACTGGCAGTTGGAGTCAAGTGTGCTTTCTGGATGAGAGGAAAGAAATAAGCTCCCTACATTTGCTCCTTTACTGGCCAATAGGTAGGGACAAGCATGTTTCCCCTGTGTCCTGATGTTCTTCCTGTAAAGCAGGGGACATAGGCTCCCAATGGCTTTAGGTCTCTGGCCAGTGCCGGAGATAAGATGGTGTCATCCTTTAGAGCTGCAGTCCTCGGGTAAGTCGGGCCATCCTCAACATACTCCAAATGAATGCTGCTAGGAAAAAAGCAAGTGAAAAAAGGTAGACTGTAAAATGATACGTTCTGATTTTTCAACCTTTTAAAAACATAGCAATGCATGCATTTCAGCATGTTGAAAACTTGCAAAAAGTGGCTGGGAGCTTGCCCTCTACCCTTCCTGTGTTCCTTTCTTCTACCAATGGTTTTGCCGCTCCACATCCTATACCTTGAGTCCTATGCACCTCTTTCCCATCCATACAACTATTTATGTATTCAGTGTATTTACATCCCACCAAATACATTTTATTTTATTTTTTTCCTTTTGACTACAACTGTTTTAATGGGGCTGTGATACTTATGAGATCAGAAGATCCACGTCTCCTAGGTCCATATTTGTTTTTCTGACTCTGGGAAATATTGTTAAAGAATAGGCTTTGGTGTGCAAGAAACAGGTGTTCCTACATACTTGGTTTCATGAGGGTTCTTGCCTCTCATCCCAAATAACCAGGTGGGTAATAAATTATCCCACCACATTATAAAGCATTTCAGCGGAGCTAGAAGAAGAAAGCAATAGTCAAGGACTGAGAAACTAAAACTAAGCAGTTGACATTTCAGAATAACATTTCCAGCTAACTGTTATAGCAGTTTTTTCAGCAAGGTAAGTTATAAACGAACTGTGTAAATTTAAACCCATAAAGAAATTAACACTTCGTTTCATGATATATTATTTTTGTGCTCTGTGTCTGGAAAATGAAAAGAGCATAGGACAGGTTTGACCATGCTTCATTTAAGAACAATGTAGCATTGAGTAAGAGTTTACTTCTATTTTATTCTGTGCCAGAAATTATTGTGTAATATGCTTAATTCTATCAGACACTGAACAAACCTTTTATTATGTTCTGCTTATTTTCATCATTTTTTACAGGTGGCCTGCACAATGTGCTTACGGTTTAACTATTTATTTATTTGACACATTTATACAGTTCTTCATTATTAATCAACAGTTACACTAATCTAAAGAGAGCTGTGCCTTGCATGGATGCTCTATTCATTCCATTACCAGGACAAAACCTTCTTATTTGCCCACTTTTAAATTGTTAGATTATATTTTAACTGTTTTACTGGCACTTCAGAGGTTTTAATGTCACTGTTTTGCTGAATTAATAAGGAGATTCTCTAGAATAAATAACAGTATAGAAAAGTTTTAAATATAAATAAATAAATAATAATCATAGTGTGCTTTATGTCTGAAATCTCAGGATAATTTTCAAGAGAAATAGAATAATGGAAACTCTAAAAAGAAGGGGTTATTGTTGTGCCCCATCTGTTTCTACTTAAATAAAGTTTCCAAAGAAACTATCCATCTGAGCTTTATTTTCCATAATCTCCCATTATCCAAATATAGAAATCAAGGAGAAAGGAATTGCATAGATTTAGATGGACCATTATAAAATTACCTTCCAAATGGAAACAAATGCATAGGCTCTCTGGTGACTGAGATTCAGGTATTTCTCCTTACAGAAAGTAAGATTGCTAACTAAATTTCCATATAATTTTTCATAATTTTAGCGCTGGTTTCAAATTACTATTAAATTCCGTATTTGTGTGCTTTTAAAATATAGCACTTCCTTTTTGTTTCACAATAATTTTCTAAATCTTGGAATAAGCCAGAAAGTCTAAAAAGACAAGTAAAAGAAAATATTTTAAGCAGCAATATCATGTGTTAGATTACTATTGGTATTCTGGTTATACACAATGCAACCTCCATCTGTCATTGTGAATCTAGAATCTAGATTGGAGTTTTTTCCCCTCAAAACATGGAATAACTTGGTGACTATCTTCTATTTTTGCCTTTCAGAAATAAAGATGGCAAGGGTCCACTAATAAACTGTATACTATTATATTTCCCCTTTTTGGACAGCCACAATTGCTTTCTCAAATTACATTTTTATATCCAGTATAGCTGCTTACTAAATCTTTAGAGAAAAAAAGCAACATAATGCAATGGATGTATAATTGGGTTTTTTTTTCTGTAAAACATTTAACAAGCAGCTATCCAATATAAATAGAAAATACAAATTCATCCAATATAACATAGCTTTATACAGACGCTGTTGTTTAGTTTAATGAACACTTTGAGGAATAATCATTCGATTTATTTATTTGGTGGTTTCTGATTATATAGATGAAATTCCGGTTACTATTTTCCCAAGTCTTTTTCGCAGTTTATATATCCTCTGAATGTATGTCTAGTAAACTCTAAATACTATGAAAATAATACGTATAATAATTATTTATAGTAATTATTTCATTTGTGTCCATTATCCCCATTCCTTTTAATTGATTTTAGTGAAGAGACATGGCAGATATTCAACTGTCAGTAAATTCTGTATTTTCTAGTCAATTGGAATGAAAAATCCAGATAGTCTACTACTCCTTTAAGGTGGTGCTGGGGGACTTTGGCTCTGTGCCATGGCAACTCTGCGATGGAGTACCACAGGGCTCCATTTTGCTATATAATATCTACACGAAACCACTGGGAGAGGTCTTCAGGAGGTTTGGGCTGTGGAGTCATCAGTATGCTGATGGCAACCAATTCTACCTCTCCTTTTAAACTAATCCAGGTGAGGCAGTGGGTGTCCTAAACCAGTGCCTGGCCGAGGTAATGGGCTGGATGAGGGCCAATAAACTGAAGCCCAATCCAGAGAAGATGGAGGTCCTGTTGGTAGGTGATTTCGAGTTTTATTTATTTATTTATTTGTTTAGCAAGCTTCCATGCCGCCCCATTTGCCGAAGCCTCGGGGCAACTCACAACAATAAACAATAAATAAACAGCAATAAATAAATGCACAATTAAACAGTATAAAACAATATAATTGGAGACGTCCTGGCTTAACATATAAAATCAATAAATAATATTAACAATTAAAATGATGTTTAAATAAAAAGGTCTTGGCCTGGCACCGAAAAGCAAATAACGACGGCGCCAGGCAGACCTCTCTGGGGAGCGCATTCCATAGATTGGGCACCACCACAGAGGAAGCCCTCCTCCAGGTACTCACCCTCCTAATGTCCTTCACGGAGGGCTCCAGGAGAAGGGCCTCTGCCACTGATCTCAGGGGGCGGGAGGGCACGTATGGACGTAAGCGCTCCTTTAGGTAAACAGGACCCAAGCCGAGTTTCTGGGTAAGTGACCTGGGCCCTGCCCTAGACGGGGTTGCACTCCCTCTAAAGGACAGGGTCTGCAGCTTAGGAGTGCTCTAGAATCCAGAACTGTCCCTGGAAGCCCAAGTGATGGCAGTGGCAAGGAGCACTTTCCTTCAGCTCCAGCTGATCCATCAGCTGCGTCCTTATCTGGAGCAGAACTGCCTGGCAACAGTGACACACGCACTGGTTACCTCCCGCTTGGACTACTGTAACGCGCTATATGTGGGGCTGCCCACGGTCTGGATACTTCAGATTGTGCAAAGTAGAGCTGCCAGGATGCTGTCAGGGTCTGGTCATTATTCTCACATAAGTCCAGTCCTCTGTCAGCTCCAATGGCTTCCCATTGAAGTCTGGATGCAGTTCAGGGTGCTGGTTATTACCTATAAAGCCCTAAATGGCTTGGGACCAGGATACCTAAAGGAATGCCTTTTTCCCTATATGCCCTCCTGTCTCCTAAGATCGGGAGCAGAGGCCCTCCTCCCAGGAACCCTTTTTGAAAGAGGTCAGGAAACAGAGTACTCGGAGGAGACCTTTCTCTGTGGTGGCACTTCAACTATGGAATGCACTGCCTAGAGAGGTCTGCCTGGCGCCGTCATTATAGGTGACCTTTTTATTTGACCAATACAAGTGAAGGAGTAAATATGAAAAGCTCCCAAGTGCCAATGAAAGGAAACTTGAACTTCCATTGCTTCCTCTGCCCAAGACCAAAGATAAAAAGAGTAACTTAAAAATTCCAAAATAATAACTTTGAGGAAGTCATATTAGAGGGATAGATAATTCAGGCAAAACCATTAACAGACTTTAAATAGTTAAATAGTATTTAATAGTTTTCTACAAATCATTCTCCTTGATACATTCTCTGTTGAAAAATCAACCAGAATTTCCATCAGTTTTGTCAAAATAGGTTTTAAGTGAAAATTAGACAGCTTACAATGTCAAAAACGCTTTCCTACATTGTACATCTGTTTTATCCTGACTGCTGGGGTGGGGGTGAGGAACAAAAATAGCTCTGGCTTCTGAGATAGTATATGGCATTTCTGGGTTTCCAGCATTCTGACCTTGGTCACATCTGCAGTGCCAGTTGCAATAGTAGTGGTTTGTGAGATACTATTGCTCCTGGATATAATTTGGATATATCTTTGGATTTATGGTATGGTATAAAATCTGGTGTTCCTCAGATTTTATGTTTTATTTTAATTCTTATGGAAACTGGTGAGGATTTCAGATCAGTTGCATCTTGTTTGCTCAACAGGAAAGTATAATCAAATCATTTTTGACAATTCAGTTCAAAGTCTCAATTCATTACATTTTAACTATTATATACTTTTTTACAGAAAGATAAAGAAGAACAATGGCAAGAGAAAAAGGTTCAAGGTAATAAAGACCACATAATTCTAGAACATTTACAATGGACAATGGGCTATGAAGTGCAAATTACTGCTATCAACAGGCTGGGATATTCAGAACCAACTTCATATGAGTTCATTATGCCACCAAAGCCCAATATTATTACAGGTAAGCTAATTTTAATATACTATCTAGCATGACTTCTGCTTTTATATGTTTAAAGAGCACTAGCCTCACTATAACCCTAGTGCCCTATGACTGGTAGGATTACCAGGCATAAGCCTTTCAACTTCTTATTTCCTTTTATATGCTGGCATGTAGTGGGATAGATACTGTAACAGAAAGCATTTGGCATACTTCTGCAGTGTTAAACTTTACACAGTCTACAGTTCAGTAGTCATACCCAGTGACAGTAATCACTGTTTTCTTGCAAACACACTTAGAACAAAACTCTGCATGGTGTGAATATAAATGGTTCCTGGATGAAGAATCTGAAGGAGAAGAAGTGCAGTTGGCAACTGCTGTCACAAATAGTATTACAGTTTTGTGGACAAACAGGGTCTCCCTTGGATAATAAATATTATATAAAAAGAACACACTGAGTTTCTCTGAATGTGTGTGAGTCAGACATGTGCTGTGCCACTGGCATGACATAGGGTGCTGGTCCAGCTGCACCTGCTTTGGCACATGCTTCTGTGCCATGTTTGCGTGAAATAATAGGATAGAATTAGGCTGCCCAGTGCATACTAGAAAGAGCTTTCATTGGAAATATGCCAAATAGCAATGGTGTATTTTTTGTCTAATTGCCAGAATGATTAAAAACAAAAAGGCTTGCAAATACTTCATTCACTATGAAGTGTTTTCAACAGTTGTTTCTACCAGAGGGGGCTAGACATTTAGATACTTTTTATGTTCAACAATGTACATTAGAAATTAAGTTTAATTTGAGCTTTGAAATAATGTTTTTAAGTGTTGGTTTCCAATATCACATGTGCTGTGATAGAAATATTCAAAGATTGCCAAACCATAGGATAGAACTTCGGAAAACTTGGGGCAAAGGGGAGGGTTATACACAGCAGCATTGGCAACATTCACAAGAACCCAAAAACTTCTTCAGTGTTTCAATAGTCAATGCCATAAGTCAAGACCAGTGGTAGACAGTGCGACCAGTCTGGGTCCATGGGTATCTTTTAAATTTAAGCAACTGCATTACTGTAATAGGTACACACAGCTAATCACAAAGGATGAATAACCTGCCAAATGGCATCAATAGAAAATTAAGATGGCATCAGCTAGAGGCTCTCACTTTGCTTTGAAGTAATCCTAGTTGCCAGTAACATTTATGGAAAAAATTATATAGAGTTTGGGAGAATAAAGGTGCATTGGTAAGTTCAAAATAGGATGGATCTAGACATCAGGAGAAAATATTTTTGTATTCATTTAATCTTCTACCCCAGCTAAGGGATCAGGGGTCAAATCATATAAAAATATCATTTTAATAAAAACAACAGTATAAAGTGTTGTTTATAAAAATAGTTCTATTACTGCTTACATTTGGCTATTCAAAACCAAAAGTGAATGAAGACCATGCATGACAAAATGAATCTTGTAATGCTACTAGAAAATGCTCCATGAATTTTCAACATTTAAAGTAAGACAATTCCATATCATAGTTGAAAGGCAGCTACTGAAGTTCAGCTTCTGAGAAGGACAGCCATTCTGTCTTTGTGAGTAGTTATTATTTTCAGCTGAGCTTAAAAATTCCTGACAGAACACGTAGATGACATGATTTTAAGAACACTTCTGAATCAAGGCTTTTGCACTGAATTAGTGAAACTAGCACAGTTCATATGAGGATGCTGTTAAACCTACTGAACATCGGTAGAAAAATAATAATACCCCTCAGCATTAGGGATGTTGAGACAGTGCTTTCCCACCTTTTCAGACCCATTCCCTCTTCTACACAACTATTTAAGTCCTGTGGTCTTTTACGCTTTTATGCACATTCAATGGTGGGCAAAGAAATTGACCTTTTCAGTTGTGGGGCATTGTTTAGCAGTCAGACAATAGCACAGTCAGAGGATTTTTCTGTTTGAAAAAAATGTTCTTGCTTCCCTTTCAGTGTTCTCCACTTCTTGCTTGTTTAAAGGTACATATTTAGGCTGTAATTCCTCGGCCAATACACATAGGATTGTTCCTTTAGTTTTTTTGCCTCCGCCTTTCCATGTAATAGACTGAGATACATTAGATGTATTGTGGGGTGAAATGGTCCTTGACAGAGAAGGAAAGTTGTGCCAAAAAAGTTTATCTTCTGTTACTCTTGTATTCAGTGTTGCATGCTTCTGTACATACATACTTCCTTCTGTTGGATTTGCACCTTGAATATATAATTCCTCCCACTAAGATGCTAAATTCCTGCATTTGTATTCCATGCACTTATACATAAACTAATAGTTTTGATATGGTATTCACCCCCCACAAAAAGCAAGAGAAAAAGGCAGGGAAAATTCGAGTCACACTGACAAAGAGGCTATATAAGATTTGAAACAACTGTCCTAGGCTGAAATGGAGCCACAGAAATACCTTGGCCTTGGCTCTGCACTACTGTCCGGCCCCCAGCCCCTTTCCTCTCTTGTGCCACCTTCAGTGTGAGGATCATGGAGGCAAGCCAAACTACAGAATTCTGGCTTAATGTCAGTTAGAAAAAAGGTAAAATAAGCCGCAGTGACCACAGCCTTTGTGAGTTAGGTAGCTTCGTGTATATTGCCATACAGAAGAATCTCCATCACTCATTGGAAGCTACAGTGCTATTCTTCCCAGTTGGGTTATTAGTACTTCAGTTCAGTATCCAGACCACATTGGGCACAATCTGGAACCTTTTTATTATCCAGGTGACTTATTTATATATTTATTTATTTCACTGCATTTCTATGACACCCCATAACCTGAAGGTTCTCTGGGTGGCATACAAATGTGAAAACAGCATAAAATGCATAGCATACAATAAAACAATTAATAACCAGATAAAATAGATAAAACAATAAAATAATAGGGAACATCTGATGAAGAAATATAGCCACACACTCCATAATAAATACAGAATAAATTAACCAAAATTAAATTAGAATAAGTAATCTATAACAAAATATATAAGTATTAAATTAAATTAGCCAAAAACTTGTTTATATAAAAAAGTTTTCACCTGGCACCTAAAATGAAAAAATGCTGGTGCCAGCAATATATCCCTGGGGAATGAATTCCAAAGTCTAGGCACTACTGTTGAGGATGCCCTTCTACCAGCCTTTCCCCTTCAATCTCACTAGGGGAGGGCATTCGGAGGAGGACTTCTGAAGAGGATCTAAATGGACAGGTAACATGTGTGGAGAAAAGCCTGATCCCAAGCCATGTAGACCTTTATATGTCAATGACAATACTTTGAATTGGACTCATACTGCAACAGGTGCCCATGCAGATGACGGAAGACCAGCATAATATGTACTCACCAGCCAGTTCCCATAAGTAGATGCATATCCTGTTCTGTATTAGTTGTAATGTCCAGAAAGTTTTCAAAGATAGTCCCAAGTATAACACATTACAGTAATTCAGGCAAGAGGTTACCAGTGTAACCTGGCAAGGCTTTGTTCATCCAAGTAGGAATATAGCTGAGAAATCAGACAAAGCTGACAGAAGGTATTCCTGGCCACCAAGTCCTCCTGAGAAGCCAGGGAGAGGTCAGGGAACAGGAGCATCCCTAAGCTATGAACCCTATTGTTTAGAGGAAGTGCAACCCTATCCAGGGTAGGTTGAAAATTGCCTAGTTGGAATGCAGGAGTGCCCACCAACAGGACCTCTGTCTTATCTGGATTCAGTTTCAGTTTATTGGCGTTCATCCAGCCCATTACCGAGTTCAGACACTAGTTCAGGACACCTACTGCCTCATCTGGATCAGGTGAAAAAGTGAGATAGAGCTGGGTGTCATCAGTGTACTAAGGAATCCGGAAAGGCCGGGCCTAGACAACTTCCATGTGTTTTTTAAACTTTCCCCAATATCAAAACAATGGTTGCAACACTTAATGGTTTTGCCACATGAAGATACAATGCAATAAATTGTAATAACTGTTCTTTTTTATTTCAACACATGCTTTTCTAGTGGTGCAAATCCACTAATTTTTGTGAATTTTTTTTCCTTGAAATGTCACAGTTTATGTTAAATATTGCAACACCATTCCATAGCTGAACAGAAATAGATTTGACCTACTTCACCACATTGAAATGTGAGGCTTTCCATGAATGTGAGGCCCAAGCCAAATAACCCTCCACCCCTATTGCCCTTATGTTTTGGAAGACCTGGTCTGGAGAATCATCAGCCATATTCATCAGGATGTTAGCTAGCTTGGGAATCTATACTGATCTGGGAACACATGGATGATTTCATGTGCCAAGAACCTTCTGGCTTTCCTTGATTACTTAAGTCCTTCCACCACTCCACCCCACTCCATCCAGTTTTGTTTGAATGCTTTGACTGGTAGTACTTATCTTCAAGACATTATTTATTTGGTGATGTTATTGATGAAGAGCTACTAGCTTTAGATACAATCCTTCAACTTACATAACACTACTTTAGTGTGGTCTTTAGCCAATAATGTTAAAGGAACACACACTTCAATCATTGTGCTTAGATCCAGATGCCACTAGCATCATGACCTATGCTGTCCCAGACTGGTATGTCTAACATACCCTTTTGAACAAAGTGCTGTCACTTGTACTAAAACATCTTCGCTCTTTCTGACCAAACCTATTTAGTCATAGACAAAGATGATGTATAATCTATTTAATGTGATATTTTCTCTGATCATGTTCTGCCCTATACTTGCAAAAATGTCAGTGTTCATCAGGTTAAACAGTTCACTTATATTTTCAATATTGACTGAAAATGACAGCATTGTGGGGTTTAAAGATTTATCCGCAGAAGGTTTCCTGCAAAACAAACTAGAAACATTTATTTTCATTTAAGTATAACAATACTTTCATATTAGAAGCTCTAATGTTGAATACAAATGCACTGTGCTCACATTCTCGCCCCCAATACCAGGCTATGCATGCACTAGGGTATGAAAAACTGTCCTGTTTGTTTTTGCAGCTACAGTTTCTTTCTAGTTTCATTGTTT